AAAGGAATAGTAATAGTAACAATAAAATTATACTACAATGATATTATGGCATATGGCATGTAGACCGAATGAAACCAAATGAATGGAGTGGGGAAAAAATCATCTGCAAAGGCCATGCAAACTGTGTTAGGATTTGAAATCATGTCATAACAATAAACTGATCTGCCGTGAATAATTCCTAACTAATGTTAACAGACCCACAACTTCCACTGTGTTAAACACTAAATAATACCCATTAATCATAATCACAACCAATAGCATTTTCTGAGGAATCTAGAAACCTTCCTATCATTATTTAACAAAGTGTATTCTGCCGGAACGAATGTTTTTAGACACTAAATTACTAAATGCTCTGGGAATTGTGTCAAAAACATGTTACTTTTCACCACAAAACTTCAATAAATTGTTCATCATGCTAAACTTAAAAGTTACATCTTATGATCAATGAGTGATCACACAATTTAATAACTGACCCTCTAAAAACTACGACTCATAAATAGGATAAGATGTAAAGACATCACAATGCACTCCATATATATTTATCACAAAACAAATTTCGTTTTCCCTTGTCATCTTATAACTGCATTACAAACCACTATATCAATATTACTTGACTTACTACTGTCCATCGTGGCAAAAATTACCCTTAACCAAACATCAGCAAAATGAGAGAGAGAGAGAGAGAGAGAGAGAAATATATAAAATCAATTACAAAATCTATATCATGCTTAGACAGCAGCAACACAGCATTACTTGAAATTCAGAAAAAATAAGTTTAAGTATCATAAATCTACCCCTGTACTTACTCACTCACTCCACCATGCTTACTCACTCCCTCACTCCACTCTGCTTCCTCACTCCCTCACTCCACTCTGCTTACTCACTCCCTCACTCTACTCTGCTTACTCACTCACTCAGACACTCTGCTTACTCACTCATTCACTCCACTGCTAACTCACTCACTATACTCTGCTTACTCACTCATTCACTACACTGCTAACTCACTCACTATACTCTGCTTACTCACTCATTCACTACACTCTGCTCACTCACTCATTCACTATATTCTGCTCACTCATTCACTCCACTCTGCTCACTCACTCAAACATAACATACACTTGACTTTCTTCCTACAAAATCTATGGCAATCAAGTTGGTTTCCAACTACAAAACCCTGTAGTTTGTCAATAATATACTTGCCAAAAGATACTTTCATTTCTAAATCATTAATATTATCACTTTGCACTGTAACTTCCAATAAAAAAGACCAACATTTCAACTTGTTCGTCTTAAACCACGCCCTGCAACCCCATTCATCTTCTATCCAAAGACTGTCAGAAAAAGAAGGAAAAATGCATGTCATATTGAATAATAACCAAACCATAATAATATTTAGACTGTAGAGACAAAAAGTTGTGCAAACAAAATGCAAAGATTGCAGGGACTGTGACTTATAAGACAGCAACATAATGTGCATAAGTGGGTAAGATTCTGCATCATATTTTTTCCAGAGTAGCAATTTACAATAAGGTAAGTAGACATAATGATAAATAACAAAGATAAACTTATAAAGAATTTCTGAGTTTGAGTGAACTACATTATGTTAACGATATGTCACAAAGCTTTGTTGAGTTAGAACGTAATACTGACTAATACCCTTTGTAAGAGTGTAGGTTACCAAGCACTTGTATGTATTCAAACAGGGCTACTTATGAATGTCCAACTCCTGTCTGGAGGCAAGGCAATGACCAGCATTCAAAGTTAGGATGGGCAGGGATTATTCTCAAGGCAAAAACTAATACTGGAGCCCATAAACAGGAACAGTGACTACAAACTATGTTTGTTTCCAAAGCCATCATAAAAATCCTACACCAAAGCATATCTTTCCTTTCTTCAACTTTTGTTTCATCTAATTCAGGAGGCTTCTCTGCATATCCAACTTTTAAGAAAATTAGGGTCAATAAATAAGTAAATATCCCCCCAATTTATCAAAGTTATCTAGATAATACAAAAAGGGTTGGCAACCTTTGCCCTACAGGTTGGATCCCATCTGTAGCCATCTTCCTTTGGTCAGCCTGTTACCTAATGTTGAGACATTTTCAAGCAACACAGCACATTAGCTCTCAGAATTATTGCTGAGACACATTATATATTGCTTACATAAAATAAACAAGTCTTGTTCATTATGTTTCCTTATCATCATTTCTATTTAATGCCATTAATTCAGATTCATGACTTCTGGGTTCTACATCAAACAAGGTTGATCCCTGCCCCAGAAAGATATCCACCTCATATGCTGATCACAATGATCATCTTTGCATCTGAAATTGTAAATCACATTATATAACAATCAAGACAGTGATTTCTCATCTCAAATCTCTGATGTCATGCATATGTGATGGAGTTCAGGCTTTGGCTTTTTATTAGTGCACAGTGATTCTCATTATATCAATCAGTAAACCAAATATAGATCAAATTCTGACTTGTACACCCCTGACCC